CCACAGTCAACTTGCCCGATTGATTGGTGTCGCACAGAGCCCTAAATGTCAGACATCGGATTAGTATGCGCCAATAACTCGTTCTCCATTGCATAATCCTCACCAGATATCCGCCAGGCTCCGCTGTGGTATACCCGACTTGATGAAAATATCCTTCACCTCAAGTCCGGACACCAGACCGTCCTTGTCGAGGTCCGACTGCCGGAAGATGTCCTCGAAGCGCTTTAGTTCCGCCGGTGTGACCACCCAGTCGGCGTTGGCCGTTACCGAGGGTGGGGCACCGATGGGTATCAGAGGATCGGTTTGGATCAGCGGCTGAGAGCTGACAGCGCCCACTGGTGGAATGCGAGTCATGGGTGGCACGGCCACTGGTAGCGGTGGAATGGCCGCCGGCGGTGCAATATCCTTGGGAAAATTGGCAACGAAGCCACCATCACCGAATCCCTCGCCGCTGGGAGCACGTGGCATGGCAGCTCCAGCCGCCGGTGGTGGGGGCATGGCGGGCTTGGGCGGAGGTGGTCCTGCACCACCAGGCTTCCTCAACTCGGGCGGCAGCACGCTGGGAACGGTGCGCTTTTGCAGTGTCTGGTAGACGAGATGCATGGCCACAATGAACTCGTGCTTGTCCAGGTTGCCGTCCTTGTCCTGATCGGCCAAATCCCAAATGGTGCCTAGGATGTTCATCGGCAGCTTTGAGTCCATCAGCACGCCCTTCACCTTGTTGCCCGGCAGCATGCCGTTGTGCGGGTTGAGCGACTCGAAGAGCTGCTCGTACTTAAGTCGATCGATCACACCGATGGACCAGTCCCCGTTCGCCACTCCGCCGCTGGACACCGGCACCGTCTGGATGCGCGACGGCATCGTTTTTGGTATTTCACCCTGGCGACGGCGAGTCAGGTGACACAAAACAGATTAGTTACCCATTTTTGGGCAGGCAGCGATCGCTGATTACTCACCACCTTCGGCGGATTGGCAGTTTCCACATAAATGTTGTTCATATTGGCCACCTGGCCCGCCTGCGACAGTGACACCAGCTTAAGGGCCACAAAGAAGCCCGGCTTGTCCAGGAAGCCCTTGCCATTGGGATCGGACAGGTCCCAGATCCTGCTCAAGACTACATCACTGAGGCCCGACTTCTTGAGAAACTTGGCCGCCGTCATGGCCTCAATTGCCCCGGTGCCTTTGGGGTCAATCTGCAAAAATCAATAGGGGGTGGGTTTTGGTGGTTGACGAAGGTGGATTCCAGAGCTTCGCTGGCATTCCTGGCTACCAAGGCCGCGCCCTCGACGTGCTCACCTGTTTGTAGTAGGCCTCGTAGACACCTATGTGCTTGCCGCACACTTTTGCAAAGTCCAAATTCATATTGCGGACTCAATTCCACCGGAACCACTGCCTTAAAAAAAAACGCGTAAGCGCAAGTTCTGCCTGTTATCACTCAATCGATTTTTCTCTGGCGGAAACGCTGACCGCAATCCTTATCGGCGGAAGCCCGCGCTGCCCTGCACCTGTCCACTCGCGACGACTTTAGGCAGCTGAGTTTTTCACAGGTGATCTGAGCACATTGCGGCCCTTAATTTAGCTACAAATTAAAAATTACAAATTACAAATTCTTTTGCACGGGTTCTCCAGTGTGGCCGGAGACTGAAAAAACGGGACTATGAAGCTGAATATACTGAATTTTGCTAAAATACTGAAGCAGTGATTGATGGTCATACTAAGCGATAAAGGATGATTATGTATATCGATAAGCCATAATAACAATGTATCGCTATTGACATCGTTTTTGAAGATTTGAAACAGATAAATTGAATTATTTATTACAATTTATGTTTCTTTACTAATCAAATTTTGCTGTTAAGTTTATAGTTTCCGATGAATTTGATTTATTATTTGCTTATATTTATGAGAACACTAGTTAGTTTTTAATTTTAATATATTATATACTGCAAACAAAAAGTTTAAAAGATTAAATTATCCACAGTAAATGACTGGAAATATTTCCTTTAATTTTGTATTTCCCCTTCCAAGCTTTAATTCCCCTGGAAGCTTAAAAATAACTCAAAAACGTACACATATGCACTTCAATGTGCACGTAAAAGTTGCGATGCAATTTGTTTGGCCTTTTTTTATAACGCATTTCCCGCTTTAAAGTCCAATTTGACATGATTGGCATTAAGCCTATAAATGGTTATGCAAGTCATTAACCAGTTTAAGCCTTGGCTACTTCAAGGACCCGGTTTTATTCACCCAATTTAAAGAAATTATGTTTATATAGGCCAACATATCGTTTATAACAACTTGTTATCTGGATTTAAAATCGTGTTTGTTTATTCAAGTTTTTCAAAGGAAAATGCAAATTAATTGGTGTTAAGAGATCTCAATTAAATCCAGGACAGTGTCATTAGTCAAATCAGCGCAAACTTTACCACTTAAAACGGGGTTAAAGGAAGCGAGTTGCATAAGAAACAAATTGAGATATTCACTTTCACATTCATTGCTGGCTTTTTCGAGACCGTTCAATTATGGCCACTTAAAGTCTAATCACACCCCGCACGCACAGCCAGTCTCCCTCTCTCTCTCTATCTTGGAGCTTTGTTTGTAAATCCCCCGAGTTACAACGAGATAACAAGAGAAACGATGATTAGGTCAAGGTTGTTTGCCATCGCTGTTGTTACCCTTCTTTTGGAGATAAAGCGAACGTGCCGAGCCTCTGAAGATTTGGGCGGTACAGAGGAGTAGAAAGAAAGAGAGGGAGGAAGGTAAGACTAAGACGCCGCTCCAAAAAAAACAAGTGAAGGTCGTTGCCAAATGCAATAAGCGCTCTTTGGCTAGTCGCGTGCAAGCGAGATCGCACTAGCGAAACCGTTAATCAGGCAGAAAGAGCCGTTAATCGCTGCGAAGAATTGCAGTAACGAATTTCCAGGCGCTCAAAAGCAGCGGGAAGGAAAATGGACCGGGGGCACGAGCTGGACAATGGGCAATTAGCGGCAACGAAAAAAAAAAAAAAATCGGAGCCTAAATTTTGATTATGAAATAGAATGGGCATGTAAATGCTATGGCCTGTCTTCCGCGTCTCTGTCGTTTTCGGTTTTTTTTTATTCAGTCTTTTTGCGCTTTTGCGAAAATAAAAGAAAAAAAATTGTACCTGGCTTTGTTTTAGTCGCTGGTGTGTGTTTAGTCGAATTGTTGCTATTGCCACACGATGGATTTTAAAATAGCCACTCCGCGGCTAAGTATGTTTTCAATTTAATGACTGCCAGTGATTGCACAAAATTCCAACCAGGCAGGCAGCTAGTCAGTCATAGATCACATAATGCGCACTCGCGACTCCAGCCCACATGTACATACATATGTACATGCATATACATACACACGTGCACCCCGAAACGGTGACGGTGGCCACCGGAGTCACGCCGTGGGTTCCCACAGGCACTAATCCCGGGGTAGCAATCACGATCGGTTTGAATGGATCGGATTGCCAGTTGCACCAGGGGTGTCACGGGTTTGTGGTCCCTCTCGAGCTGTTACTCCTACTCTATTTCATGAAAACATATACATATATATAGATTGACCCAATGCGACTATATGATGCCAAAATAAAAGGCAAGTCCACCAGCTAATAATGCACCTAAAAAAAAGTCCCAAAAATAGCATCAATAAATAAAAACTCTCTTTTTTATGAACCCTGAATGGTTCATAAACTCGGAATAATTTTATAATGACTTTCATGAATTTGTTACTTCGTTTACGTATAAAGAAAAAGCAAGACAAATAAATATTAATATACAAAAAATAAAATAATATACAAATTAATAAAGACTTAAAATATATTTAAAAATATGTTACTTTTACTTTTTAAGGAAGCTTCTTACAAAAATCATAATAAATATTCTTAATAATTTTTTTAGGAGGAATTTTAGTTGATAAACGTGGCTTGGAGTGATTATTAAAAATATCTATATTAATAGATATTTTCAGGATTAAATAAACAAGTCCTGTTGCCTGCAAATTAGTCTAACAAAAATGACCACAAAAGCTTGCTACAGTTTCTTTACAAGGACACTCCTTCTAATTGTTTTTTATTTAACGTCGGAACGACTAAAATAAATCAATTTACTTATAAAAAACAAACAATCCTGGAAAAAATGATTGTAAAATAATATAAACTAATTTAGTATATTGAAACTCGAAATTTTGTATGTGCACATCTTTTGTGGTCCCACTCACCGCTTAACGATGATATGGATGACCCCATAAAGCTCTATAAGACGAGATCAAATATGTAAAATATATCAAATAACCAAAACGCATTGTGCTTAGAGCTTAACCTTCTTATTGTCTCTTGCCACTTACCACACTCGCTCGACAGCGGGTATCGGATTTTGGCCATTTTTGGGGTTTCGGCCTGATGGCTTTGCAATGCATTCAAGCCGAAGTCAATAGCCTTAGGCATTTGCATAATCCCAGTACCAGACCCAGCCTCTCGAATCTCAAATCTCGCGACTCCAGTCTCGGAATCGTATATATCATATGTCCAGGCCAGGTGTGGGTCCAAACGGAAGCTTTGGCCTGCAATTCAGTAAAGTAAGTCGCTAAGCTCAAAGCGGCGGCTGACTTTTATGTGGGTCTGTGTACCACCACAGATTCCATCCACTTCCTAGCTATTGTCTGTAGGATATCGACCCGGTTAATCCCAAGCTCCTGTGCTGCCATGCCATCCCCCCTTGTGGATGTTGGCTGAAACCGAAACCGAAACGAGTTTTCATATAACACCAGCCTACGTTCGTTCCCCCGACTGACTTTTTCATTACTAAGCCAAAATCCACAACAACAACAACAACAACGGCAACAAACGGCAACCAAAAGAGTTGCGAATGCGCCACACCGTCTGTCCGTCGACTTGCGCCGTTGCGAGATATAGAAAGACAAGACAGTCCAATTTTTCGGTGTATATAAGCCGAGTGCAGTGGCTCAGCGATTCAGTCCCAGCTTGGATCTCGTTACCCGTGCAGCACAGCGAACCGTGGAGTAATTGTTCCCCCGTGAGACGTCGAATCAGCAGCTCAACAATGCGAATGGTAAACCCAAAAAATCGAGCCCCTTTCCCGAGGATCTAATATAAAAAAAAGGAAGTTGAAGTGTCCAATGTGTGATGATCAGAGAGATCTGAGTTAGAGAGTGAACCGTGTCCGTATCCTCCACTTGCAGTTCGTACTTCCTTGTCTCGCCGTGTGCGTGGCATTGGCCCACTTTGGAGGAGCAGTCGAGGAAAATAAGGCCGAGGGCGATGGCAAGACTGTGGAGAAGAGGGGCCTCATCTGGGCGACTATCATCATATCAGCCCCATCATGAGCATCATCATGAGCACATCAAGACGGTGACCATTGAGAAGAAGGTACCGGTTCCATACACGGTCACAAGCATGTTCCCTATACCGTCGAAAAGAAGGTGAGTGTTGAGTCCTTTACTAATTTCGGAAGGTTTCCTGTACATATTTTCGAACCTCTTAAAGTTACTCCCATAAACTAATCAAAATTGATTTAAAATACTACTTACTAATTCCCATTACCAGATCCCTTATGAGGTGAAAGTGGATGTGCCCCAGCCATACATCGTCGAGAAGAAAGTACCCGTCCATGTCAAGGAGTACGTCAAGGTGCCCGTCCATGTCCCCAAGCCTTACGAGGTGATCAAAAAGATCCCTATGAGGTGAAGGTGCCCGTTGACAAGCCCTACGAAGTTAAGATCCACGTTCCCCAGCCGTATGAGGTCATCAAGAAAATCCTTATGAGGTAAGGTGCCAGTCCTCAGCCCTATGAAGTGATCAAGAAGGTCCCACATGAGGTTAAGGTTGAGGTCCCGGTTCCCAAGCCATACGAGGTGATTAAGAAGGTCCCATACGAGGTCAAATACGAAGTGGAGAAGCCCTATGATGTGGAGGTGCCAAAACCATACGATGTTGAGGTCGAGAAGCCATACACCGTGGTCGTGGAGAAGAAGGTGCCGTATGAGGTGAAAGTGCCAGTCGACAAGCCCTACAAGGTTGAGGTGAGTAAAGATCAGTTAAAGAGCTTGCTAATATCCTTTGAGAAGGAGCCTCTAATAAAAACTAATTTAAAATCCTTTCCTTCCATTTCCATTCCAGGTTGAGAAACCTTATCCCGTCCATGTTAAGGTGCCCGTGCCACAGCCTTATACCGTGGAAAAGAAGGTTCCTTATACCGTCGAGAAGCCCGTGCCCTATGAGGTGAAGGTGCCCATTGAGAAGCCAATTCCCGTCTATTCGGAGGTGAAGGTGCCCATCCACAAGGAGATTCCTGTCCCACACAAGTACCACGTTGAGGTGCCCATTTTCAAGCATCACCATGAGCATGAGGATGACCACCACGAGGAGTACCACAGCCATGGCCATGGCCACGGACACTACTAAGGATCTCCCGGGATTTACCGAAGCCAGAAGCACAGAACGCGAGCACAAGAAATGATGAAGCAGCAGGAGGAGGAATTAGAGATGACGAAGAACGAACAGGGAGGAAGAAGAGCGCACGACAAGCAGCGAGCGAGTCCATCTGTATCTCTCAGATACATCCGCGCAGCAACGTTGAGCTGGACGTTGAACGGGTGACACGAGCGGGAGGAGAAGAGAAAGAAGGAAGTTTAGGAGAAGGAAGCAGAGAAGAGGAAGTAGGAAGAGGAGAAGACTACTCTTCTCCAGAGCCAGAGCAGAAGAGGGAGGACCACCAGGGAGTAGCAGTGAGAGGACAAACTAACTCGCTACTCCCGTCGAGATCTTGCGGAAACCAAAATCACCCCCAAACAAAAATCATATTGGTTTCCGCATCAGTTTTAAGCCAAATGTGTTAGTACTTTTATCATTGTGTTAGACTCTACGATTTCTATTTAAATTATAAGCTAAAGAAACACTGACAAACCACAGCGCGAAAATTAATGGGTTTTCGGGACAGAGCGTGCCCGGGCGCGGGCGGAAGTGAAAGTGAAAATTGAGCAGCGAGCCATGGCCAAGAAAACACGTAACACGTAACACACTCATGGCGGAAAATGGAGATGAAAATGAAAAAAAAAAAAACCAGTTGCCACTTACTACTGTCCACTCTCAGTGGGTATTCTTCTGGCCAGTCCATTATGCAAGGAGCGATCCGATCGGATTGACGATTGCGTCATCGGACTGCCAAATTAATTGCAGGAAGCAGACACTCGTTCAAAACTTGGCAAATTTTCGCAATTATGGCGGGGCACGTCATAATGGCAATCATAATGGAAGAGAGAGGGGAGCAAATACTAATACATACATATTCCAACCAAAAATTGATGGCTACACATGGGAAAATCACAAAGGTTTGAAAATTTAAATTAACTGAGATCTACCCACAAGATACCAAAATAAGATGACTGAAATTAGCATTTTCCAATAGTTTATTTTTTCACATGTCGAAAACATTTCCAATCGCCTCAATTTTTCTGTGTGCACATTTTCGTGAATCTATTTGCAATTAAATCCGTAATAAAACGCAAAAAACAGAAACAATTCAAAAACAAAACGCCACTTCAAGTGCGCAATGGCCTCCTTTTCGTGAGGCAGTAAGCGCAAAGCGTAAGCGTAGCACATAACCAAATTGCATTTCGCAACATCAGTTACTGCAATTACCCATCAAGTACCCCACTAATTGCACTTCGATGGTGTAAGCTTTGGCGCGGGTTTGCCTTTTGAAAGTTAGCGCCTACACCAATAACAGTGGCCAAACCAATCGATTTGCCGTAGATATCGATGGTTTTTTACTGCTAGAAAAAAGCATAGTTGGGAGGTCTGGCAACGCTACTTTATTTTGTTGTAGGAACTGCAAAGCCGCTTGTCTGTATTCAGTCGCGAAAAAAGGGTCTTATTGCCGCTAAAATGTCGGTGACTCTAACCAAATATTGCAATTCCGGTGGCGGATTAGTGGACTTACAGCCAGGTGTGGTTTTAAAACCAATAACCATAGATCCCCAACAACTAGACACGGTAAGTGAAAATCTGCACCAGTAAAAAAATTTTTTTTCTGATTTGTTGACATTTGGCGTTGCCAGACTGGAACCATATAGCGAACAGCTGTTTAGAAAAATGTGCAAGACACCGAAGTCAAGATTTTTGTGAAATTTTATCATTTATCTGGACAGAAACACATCGTTGGAAATCCCCAGATTGAGGCTCGAAATGCCACTATAAGAGTGGCCTCGGGCGGCATTGTTCTCAATAAAATACCAGCTGTCATAAGGCCCAGCATGAAGAGAGCAGCAACGGCTACTACGATCGGGGCTACGGGAGCTGCTTCAATAACAACTGAAGCAGGTACAGTGGGACAATGGCATGAGAAATCTTAAAAGACTCATTTAAAACTATATTCTAATTCTAGCATCCCTCCCAAAGGCACCAAAATATGTGATCCAGGCCACTGGATCTCCCGCCCTGCAGTGGCAGGGAAGGCGAGACTCCCAAGGTCTCGGCGTAGCCATCATTCACTGCCGCCCAACACTATTATTAAGGCAACAACGCGGGAAGCGCTTGTGCCACCGATAGGTGTCTCCACACCAACCTCTACGACTGCATCGCCACCATCTACGCCGAGTACCAGCCGAACAACATCTGTTGTAAGCACACCAACAGTGTCGGCGGCCTCCAGAGTCTCCTCTTCGGTGCGTCAAGCTGTTTTCATTAAGAGGAATCTACCGCTGCCGCAGCGGAGCATGCGTAGTCTCACCCTAAGCATGATGGAGCAGTCCACCATGCTCCATTTGGGCGTTGCCGGGGAGCACTTGCCGTTGCTAAAGCGCCTCATTTGTCGGACTGCCAATATCGCGCATCTTGACTGCTTCATAACCCTAAGGAAACTGCGTCAAAACGAACCTTTGCCTTGCTGGCGCAGTCCTTCGAGCTGAGCGAATTGGATACGGAGGAGTTATTCAAACGCACCCTCATTAAGCTGGCCCGGTGCCTGGCTCCGTTGATCCGCTGGCCAGATGTCCGACACCATCATGAGCGGCTCAAGCACACACCGCTGGAATACCGCGCAAATCTGCTACACTTGCGCTCGATGATCGAGTGTGTGGAAACGGATGTGGCCGAGCATCTACGATGGGACAGTTCTAGCAGTTACAAGTTTATACTGTGCTGCGATACGAATGGTAACTATAAGTATTGAGAGTCAAAGTGTTTGTTTAATTGGTGCTCTCTTCCTTCCCCACCCAAAGGTGTCATCAGTTACGTTTCCAGCGCTTATCCCGGCCGTTGTGATGATCTTCAGCTGTTCGAGGCCAGTAAGTTTCGCGAAATCATACCCAAGTACCTGACGTTGTGGCCGAGCCAGGCAAAGGTGTGCCGCGTGTCCGAAGACAGTACCAGATTCTGATTCGGGGGATGAGCTTGACTTCAACCGCCAGTGGAAGAACCAAAGCCATCTCTTAGCAAGTTTGAGGCACAGCAATTGGGCGGAAAGCTGGCGAATCAGCAATCCCTTAGCGTAGTGGATGGGGCTCTCACCTCGAAACGGGCTCCCTCTATACAACTACCCACACTGAGGGTCCAAGAGCAGACGTGCCGGGCCCAAATGCGGGATATGATTGATAATTTCGGGAATTCCGAATACTCGGTCATTCGGCCATTCAGAAAAAATCGCTGCTGGGCTATCTCGATGAAATGATAATTGTGGCAGCTGCTCTCTCCAACCTGAAGCGACAGGAGCTGTACTCTTAGGTTAAAGAACACTTGAATTTAATGGTAGGTTCTCTTTAAAAGTTAACTAGTTGATAATTTCACCAGACTTAACATATATTTTGATACTATAAAGTAAGTAAGATGTTGATTGGAATAAAAACATCGAATTAAAGGTAAATCTAGTGGGAACTTTAAATTAAATGTTAAATGGCAGCTTAGAAACTTGTTCCACACATACTTTACTCTACGCTGAATATTTGCTCAGGTGCCACTTAGAAAAACACTTGTTTCTTTTATCATTTTGCTTTATTTGATGTACAAAAATACAAGCAAAAACCAAAGTACATAATCAACGAAAGTTGTTCATTGAACCGCAGCGCTCAAAATAACATTGCCAATATGATTTTGCAAAAGAATGAATACGTTTCAAGTCGTCTGTGATAGATATTCCAAGGGGTAGGCGCTATCCTTCGCTGCATCCGCCTTTTAGTTCGTTCCATTCGCTCTTAGGGGCTAATAATTAAAAACTTGCTTAGTTAATAAGTGACTCTGCGTAACTACTAGCTAAACATATATTGTATATTGTGTGTGTGGTGTGTTTGTGTTTGTGGTGTGTGCCTGACAGAACCAGCTCTAGAAGCTCCTCATCCTGACATTATAACAAGTATTGGTGTTCCATTCGTCTCAAAGCTTCTGGATAATGTCAAACTTCTTCTTTAGGTCCACACTCTCATTCTTCGGATCGTACTTCTTCTTGGAGGCCAGCTTGGCACGCATTTCGGCGGCTGTAAGCGGCAAGTTCAGGCTTCCCGCTCGATTGCCACCCGCCGCTGGAGTTGGCGTTATGGGCGTGGTCATGCCATTGGTGCCATTCCCGTTGGTGTTGTAGATGCTGCCATTGTTGTTAAGCCCGGTGGCAGATGGCGGCGGCGGTGTGCTCATCAGCGTATTGTTATTGATCGGCGAGGAGGGTTTGCTGCCATTGTGCTGCTGCACAGGCAGAGGACTAACCACAGGCGCCGGTGGCGATGGGAGTCCCCTGTCGACCACATCCAAGTCTGAGGCATTCATGGTACTGCCGCTTTGGATACTGCTGGCATTCGAGGATCGCTTGGTGCTCACCATGCTAATGCTGCTGATGTTGGCACTGGCTCCCGGCATCTCCTGCTTGGTGCCCTCATAACCATTCTGACTGGCTCCATTACCATTGCCATTGCAGGCAGCGGCAGTAGCTGCTGCTGGAGGAGACGAGGACTTCATCTCTATGGCCTTGCCATCCACATCGATGAGTAGCAAACGAACTTCATTGGCAATGGCCTTGATCCGTGCCACCACTTGCTTGTGGGTTTCACTGCCAATGGACACACCGTTGACCTCCAGGATGCGATCGCCCTCTTTAAGGCCAGCTGCCTCTGCCGGGGAATCGGCATCCACCTTGCCTATAAATTGTCCTGGCTTCACCTTCTCCGAGTGCAAATTGAAGCCGTAGCCATCGAAATCGGGCCTCTTGACTATGTGACAGGTCTTGGTCACGCCAGGCGGCAAAGTGGGCGGTGTGGGTGTCTTGGGGGAAGTGGGCGTGGACATGGTGATTTCTGTGGAGACAAAAAAAACAAATATAAATATTATTTTTAATGCATTTATCAAGTTCGACAGGGAGATTTGAACAGAGCTTAACCGCAAACTGACTTGGCTCATCGAATTGGCGACAGCGATATGAATTTGTTTGGTACTGTTTACTTTTTTGATAGTACAGGGATGATACCCTAAGCATACATCGTTTTGTAGGGTATATTCCGTTCTAAATAATCTGAATTCTGTGACTTAGTTAATTTTTCAATATGGGATATAGAAATGTCTCTTTAGAAATGAATTTATCTTTTAATATGTACAGCTTAGGAGAAACTCTTTTGTTTGGTAATGCTTGTGTGTTGCAGGCAAAGCAATGAAAAGGGGAATTTTTTCCGTCTTACAGGGTAACAATCGTTCGCATTGGAAGCTTTGCCTATAAATTTCTCATTTGGCGTAGAAACATTTAGTGATAAAATACCAGATTTCATAATGAGGTTTTGTTCCTTGAAAACGAGACAAGAGTCTGAAATGGAAATGTCACAATATCATACCAAGTTCGTCATTAAATTGTGTGTTTTATACAGAGAGAGAGAGACTGGCAATCAACAAGTCCAGTGTATATACATTCATACTATATATTTTTATGGCAATCGGCGACTACTGAATGATAACGGAAACTTCTCGCCCATTCAGCTTTTTGGCCACCTTATCACTGGCTTCCTTTATGACACAGTGCCGCCGCCTATATTGACAATATGCTGGACTGACCCACATTAACCACCTGACCCCAAAACGATTAAGAGAGTCAGTTTGAAATCCGGCTAATACGTGCTGTTTGCTTGGCTCTATTTATTCCAATTGGCCGAGCGATAGTTTCTATGGCAAGTACTTGCCATAAGTGTAATTACTCGGCAAATATCGCCTTTTATGGCCGTGCTTAAGTTTGGGTTTTGTTTTCGTCGGTACTCCACGTTGGGCCGTGGAAACCATCGAATGCCCAAATAGAAATTCCATATGCATGTGCTCATGGGTCAAAATTGATTTAGTACGCCTGCTTATCGCTACACGGTGACAATTTGCTGGTAAGGAACGTGATTTTTCTGGGAAATTGAATATAGAATATTGCAAAAATATTTGTAGCTAAATATAAATTATAAAGTGTCACAATAAAATGTGTACATTTCAAGTTGGGAAATGCGTTTTTAGTTACATAAGTAAATTAGTAGGAAATTTAAAGTCGAATGTGACCGACTGTGAGATACCCGGTACTTTGAGAATTATATGGTAGATAGAAAATGAGTAACTTAATTTTAAATAAAAAGCAAAAGTTGGTAATCTAGAGGAGGCTAATATTTAAAATGAAAACACAATATTATTATATGGTAATTTAATATAATCAGTAATTATTAATAACTAAATAATAATAATTAAACAGTCGGAAAGGCAAAAGGAAAATGTTGACAATTGTTAGGAACATACTGCTCAGAGTAACGAAACATGTTGCTAGCTACATGCTGCACAACAGCCATGGTCTTGCCAATAGAAATGTTGCTGACTTTATATTCTTGTTTTATTGTCTTTTACTTTCTATTTGATAACAATTCCATTCTAAATGTATTTCCAAATCCTTTAAGACAAACTTCTATATAATCTAGATGATCTTTATAATAAATAACCACTAAATTTAGCTTGTAAACTTGCTAATTATCCCTGAGACACTCACAACGTTTGTAGTCATCGGGGGCTCTCACAATTAAAGTCTCCTCTCCAATATTAATTGCCAGTAATTTTCAGTCAACAAATGCAGCAGCATTAGCTTCAAAGCCCCTGAACTTTAAATAATTAAAAAACAAACAATAAGAAAGGAAGCTAACTTTGGGAAGTCAATCTTTGTATACCCTTGGCATTGGGTCAGAGCCGAACTTAAAAACTGATCATAACTAATATATATGGATTATAGGGTTTAAATAACTACTTCATGCGTTACAAGCTGCTAACTGAAATAATAACACCCTGAAAGGGTATAAAACAGTCTTTGATTTAAGATGGATCTAGCATACATGGCGTATACGTAACTTAAAAACCCTTAAATTAAGTATACACCATGTGTGTTCTAAGGAAGAATAGTTAAAAAAGTTTAGCAATTCAATTTTAAGATCAAATGGGAAATCGATCATAACTAAGCTTTTTATATTCCCTATTTATAAATATTTTTATATTAAAATTATTGGACAAATTAAAGTTTAAAAAACTCATAACTAAGCCAAAAATACACTAATTTTAATTCGGAAATATGTCCTATGTTAGTTTTTATTAGGGTTATAAGTCTGCATACTTAATTTAAGATAATTAAAATTTTTAACAATTTTTTAAATTATAAACGTTGTAACCCTTTTAAAAGTTTGAAAAAAGGCAAAAAAAATGTTTTCTGTCAGGCATAGATAGAAAGATTCCCCTATTTATACTGATAAAGAATATATATGGTTGATAGGGTCGGATATGATTCCTTCATTTCCAAAAAATTAGAATACCCTCTGCAAGGGTATCAAAAATAACAATCGCCGAGTGTCTCAGGTATTGCAAATTACAAAAGCATTTTTGTGTTCCGCCTCGGCTTGAAAATTTGTTTGCCTTTTATTATTGTACTTATTTATGTTTTTGTTTTGGTTCTTTATGATTTTATTTTTTGTGTTTAAAGTTGAATCATCAACTGAGGAGAGGCTGTAAGATTTATGGATATAAGCATTAGCTCATGACGATCACGACGAGGGCTAAATTTATTGAAACAAGATGAGCTCGTGGATAATGACCTTGACTTTCCCACCCCCCCAATTGTTGTCCAGCCTCCATCTCCTCCCCTCCCCCTTCAACTGTAAGCGATTTTTAATTCAATACAAAGGTAAACAATGAGGCGCAAAAAAATTCAATTCAGAACCAACAATAAGACTATTTTGTGGGTGCTTCACGGGGGAATCTGTTTGCATGGGATTGAAATAATAATAAAAATAATAATAATAATTGTTTTCACTGGCATGTATGTGGGTTTATGGCACTCAACCGCTTGATTTGGGTTTCTATTAGGAAGCGGAACTGGCATTTGGCGAAATATAAAAAAAACGTCACAAACAAAGAAATCGTTAAATTGATAGACGGAAATTAAATGAAACATGCTCGCATAATGCTGTATTTGTAGTTAATAAGGTATACCAATTATTATAAAAATGGCCATTAAATTGTAATTGAAGATGGTGCTAAAAAATAATGGAAACTAATCAAGGGTTTCTTTTGTTTTTTTTTTGACTAATTACAATGCAATTGTTTGTGTTATTTAGCAGGTATTTTAATAACATGTTGGGTTCTAAGGTTATTTATAGGCTTTCAATGTGAAATCAAGTGTTGAAATGTCTTTGAAAAATTATAATATAATTATAAATTAAGGTATTATATTAAATTTGAAGGTTTAGGGGACTAGAACTTTGTTTTTAGAATGGAAACTGAAGTATTTGTTCATTTAACAAACTTCTTATATAAATTATGAGTAATTTAGATTATACATATATTTTTGTAATACCTTAGAAAAGACTTTAAATTATATCTCTAATAATACATATATTTTTAAAATTTGAGTAAGATCCTGTAGAGGGTAATTTATAATTTCTAGCTTATAAGATCCTAAAACTTTGCTTTTTTTCCACATTTTCTTTCTGTTCTCTTTCTTAACTGGGCTATAACTTGACCATCTCTATAATTGGTATTCTTTTGCAAATTCATAAATCGCTTTTTGTGCCCTGTCAAGCGATTTCCCGTTTTCCTATCCCTCTTAGGTTTTTCGCTCAATTCTCTTCGCTTCTCCGCTTGCTCAGAGTCTCGGAGAACTGCGCAAACTTTAATTGAATTTGCAATCAAGCATGAAGTACACACGCACACACACACTCTAGAGTACCCTGTCAGGTTTTATCATTCAGAATGCTGGCCAAAAGCCCCCACCTTCCGCCCCTCTCTTGAGAGCCCGCATGGGGACAGCAGCAGCAACTACAGACAGCCTCCATTGTTGTTACCTGCTGTTTGTTTACCTAAGCGGTTTCTCATCATTAAAGCAAATTAGCCGTTAGGCACTTACAGGTAGTTGATTTCGATTCACCTAGGGATTCTACCATATCCGTTATATCCCAAAAAAAAAAAAAAATACAATAAATACAAAAATAGCAAATATAGTATAGGTATCATGAGATAGATTTTCCCAACGGGAAATTCTCTCAGTTTATGGGCGGCAAACTTGCAAGTTAATTCTAATTAAATTCGGTTTATTGTTACCTTTTCGCACACTCGAAATGGAATTTAATTATAGGTCTATGTAAATATAGTCAAACTGTGGAATTAATTTGCTTGGGGATTATTCTGGTCTTATCGCAATAAAATTTTAATAAGAAAACGTCTCCTCTCTATCTTACTTTGCTCAGGTGAGAAATTCATGAGGCGAGTGCTAAACACACCTGAGTCATACCTGTGGGATGCCTGTGGGGTATTTAAGATATCAGTTTCTGGGAACGGATTGGTAATCAGATATTACCAAGTTGATCGACTCATTCCACTGCGATTTCCGATATACACAAATTAAAGAAATACTATAAATACTTTTTAGTCTAAAGCAATTATTTACACATTAGTTTTAGAGGAGTTACCCCAATGTCCACCTTCTCAAGTTAATGTATTATGATATATACCCGAAACTATAGCGAAATTCCCCTAAAAACCTTAAAAATCTCAATTAGCCTGTTCATAAATTGCTAAATGAGTAGAAAAACTTGACTTGGTTTTTTTAATTTTATGTAACCCCTCCCTTTTGCATCATTAGTCATTTAAAACCAACTGAAAAATAATAAAAACATCAAATTATGGCAATAATATTTCACTGCCAAGTAAAGCTATAATGATAATTCCACTGTTTGTTAATAAAAGTGACTAAAAGTTTGAGGCTACGTAATAAATTAAACAAAGGCTGACGACATTTGTGTGTTTATTT